TCTGGTCAATTGGGTTCTGTGTGTTGTGACCTGTCTGTTTCCTGGTCAGTAGGTTGTCTGTATGACCTGTCTGTTCCTGGTCAGTGGGTTGTCTGTATGACCTGTCTATTTCTGGTCAGTAGGTTGTCTATGACCTGTGTCTGTTCTGGTCAGTGGGTTGTCTGTGTGACCTGTCTGTTTCTGATCAGTAGGTTGCCTGTATGACCTGTCTGTTCCTGGTCAGTAGGTTGTCTGTATGAAGCCTGTCTGTTCTGATCATTAGGTTGTCTGTATGACCTGTCTGTTTCTGATCCAGTAGGTTGTCTGTGTGACCTGTCTGTTCTGGTCAGTACTGGGTTGTCTGTATGACCTGTCTGTTCCTGATCAGTAGGTTGTCTGTATGACCTGTCTGTTCCTGATCCAGTAGGGTTGTCTTATGACCTGTCTGTTCTGTCCAGTAGGTTGTCTGTGTGACCTGTCTGTTCCTGGTCAGTAGGTTGTCTGTATGACCTGTCTGTTCTGATCAGTAGGTTGTCTGTGACCTGTCTGTTCCTGGTCCGAGGATGGAGTTTGTCTGTATGACCTGTCTGTTCCTGATCAGTAGGTTGTCTGTGTGACCATCTGTTCCTGGTCAGTAGGTTGTCTGTGTGACCTGTCTGTTCCTGAATAAGTAGGTTGTCTGTGGCCGACCTGTCTGTTCCTGGTCAGTAGAGGTGTGTGTGACCTGTCTGTTTCTGGTCAGTGGAGTTTGTCTGTATGACCTGTCTGTTCCTGGTCAGTAGGTTGTCTGTATGACCTGTCTGCTCTGGTCAGTAGGTTGTCTGTGTGACCTGTCTGCTCCTGGTCAGTAGGTTGTCTGTGTGACCTGTCTGCTCCTGGTCAGTAGGTTGTCTGTATGACCTGTCTGTTCCTGGTCAGTAGGTTGTCTGTGTGACCTGTCTGTTCCTGGTCAGTAGGTTGTCTGCTAGACCACCTTCTACTCCTGGTCAGTAGGTTGTCTGTGACCTGTCTGTTCTGGTCAGTGGGTTGTCTGTAGCAGCCTGTCTGATTTCCTGGTCAGTAGGTTGTCCTGTATGACCTGTCTGTTTCGTGGTCAGTAGGTTGTCTGTATGAGCCTGTCTGCTCCCCTGGTCAGTAGGTTGTCTGTATGAGCCCTGTCTACTCCTGGTCGATACCCAGGTTGTCTAGTAACTGAGCCCTGTCCTGTTCCCTGGTCAGTAAGGTTGTCCTGTGTGACCTGTCTGTTCCTGGTCAGTAGGTTGTCTGTATGACCTGTCTGTTCGTGGTCAGTAGGTTGTCTGTGTGACCTGTCTGTTCGTGGTCAGTAGGTTGTCTGTATGACCTGTGCGTTTCGTGGTGGTCAGTAGGTTGTCTGTATGACCTGTCTGTTCCACTGGTGAGTAGGCTGTCTGTGACCTGTCTGTTCCTGGTCAGTAGGTTGTCTGTGTGACCTGTCTGTTTCACAGATGTTAGGTTGTCTGTGTGACCTGTCAGAACACCAATTCAGTAGGTTGTCTGTGACCTGTGTCTGGTCCATTAGGTTGTCTGTATGACCTGTCTGTTTCCTGGTCAGTAGAGATTGTCTGTGTGACCTGTCTGTTTCCTGGTCAGTAGGGTGTCTGTGTGACCTGTCTGTTTCCTGGTCAGTGGGTTGTCTGTGTGACCTGTCTGTTCCTGGTCAGTAGGTTGTCTGTGTGTGACCCTGTCTGTTCCTGGTCAGTAGGTTGTCTGGTGACCTGTCTGTTCTGGTCAGTAGGTTGTCTGTGTGACCACCTGTCTGTTCCTGGTCAGTAGGTTGTCTGTATGACCTGTCTGTTTCTGGTCAGTAGGTTGTCTGTATGACCTGTCTGTTCCTGGTCAGTAGGTTGTCTGTGTGACCTGTCTGTTCCTGGTCAGTAGGTTGTCTGTAACCTGTCTGTTCTGGTCAGTAGGGTGTGTGTGTGACCTGTCTGTTTCTGGTCAGTGGGTTGTCTATTGTGACCTGTCTGTTCCTGGTCAGTGGAGTTTGTCTGTGTGACCTGTGTTCCTGGTCAGTGAGTTGTCTGTGTGAGCCTGTCTGTTCCTGGTCAGTAGGTTGTCTGTGTGACCTGTCTGTTCTAGATCGGTAGGGTGTGTGTGTGACCTGTCTGTTCCTGGTCAGTAGGTTGTCTGTATGACCTGTCTGTTCCTGGTCAGTAGGTTGTCTGTGTGACCTCTCTGTTCCTGGTCAGTAGGGTGTCTGTGTGACCTGTCTGTTCTGGTCAAGTTTGTCTGTGTGACCTGTCTGTTCCTGGTCAGTAGGGTGTGTGTGTGACCTGTCTGTTCCTGGTCAGTAGGTTGTCTGTGTGAGCCTGTCTGTTCTGGTCAGTGGGTTGTCTGTATGACCTGTCTGTTCCTGGTCAGTAGGTTGTCTGTATGACCTGTCTGTTCCTGGTCAGTAGGTTGTCTCAACATTATGTACGACCGGGTCAGTAGATTGTCTGTATGACCTGTCTACCACCTGTGGTCATTGGGATCTGTGTGACCTGTCTGTTCGGTCAGTGGGTGTCTGTATGACCTGTCTGTTCCTGGTCAGTAGGTTGTCTGTGTGACCTCTCTCAAGCACCGCCAGCCAGCCACAACCTATACCATTTATCACTATAATTGGGCGGGCGGGGATGGTCTCAATACATCGTGCTGGTCACCCACCTACACTACCAGCCCCCCACCACACACACGTAACCTGCTGAGGATGTGACTAAGGCTGGAAGGTCTGTTGTGTTTGTTCTGTGTTTGTCTGTCTGTTTGTTTCTGTTTGCCTGATTGTGTCTGTCTAACTATGTATATGTCTGTTTGTTATTCCACTTGATTCCCTGGTTGTCTGTCCCTCTGTTGGTCTACTTAGATAATATGTCTGTCTGCCTGTCTCTTAGTCTACTCTATACCATCAGAAGAATCATCTACCCCCTCCCTTAGTAACCTCATTGTCTTCACCCTCGAGATAAGGTAGACAGTGGCGTGACGTAAACAATACACATAGGTGTCATAACCACCACATAAACAATAGCCCTATCAATGGTCATTATACTAAGGGGGTTTTATATCATCCAACAAAATCAAAAGAAAACAATATATGAACAAAAAGATAAACAATGCATGTAAACAATTGGTATTCTTAAATTTTAGGGAATTAACTTCTGGTAAGGCAGGACGTTTTCCTCGGCTCAATAATAATACACCTAAATCATCGCTGCCCTACAAACGTTAATGGATCTTTTGTTATCTTAAAGAGAGATAAATATTTTATTTTTTTCGATGGTTATCTATCTATCTATCTATCTATCTATCTATCTATCTATCTATCTATCTATTTAATTTCCGAGTATGAAGTTCGAATCATATGAGAGAGAGAGCAACACAAACTGCTTATAAGTAAGAATATTAAGAGTTAAAAACAGGCGTAGAAAAATATAAAAGGAAATATTAATCAAAGGTCTCTGAAAAGCAGTGAATATCCTGGCCAAAAGTATACGGTAAAGAGATTCACACAGACGAGGATGACCGGCCCAAGGGCCACAGAGGAGTGAATTTGTTTAAGGCGTAGAAGCTGTCGCCAACACAACAACCACACCCTAAGTTAAAGAGCTGCATGACCCAGTGTCAAGGAATAGTCCGAGAAGACCGGACAACTCACCAACTGCACTGGGTAACCATTACTCGGGAACACGATCCGCAAATCGATTAACATTCAAGTTCCCAATTACTGCTGAGTAGACAAAGGGAAATGACGTAAATAACTTGCCCATAGTTTCACCCTGCCCGGGATCGAACCCGGCCTGCTTGTTGAGGCGAGCATGCTGACCATTACACCACAGGTTGCCACACTCTCACACACACATAAACATATAGACACAGATAGACAGACAGAGATACACAAATTGACAGAGACAGACAGACAGAGATACACACTCACATACATTAACGAAACGATTACATAAGAAAAATTTAAAACACCCGTCCCTGGTCGGATGTGCATTAACCCTATCTCTCTCTTTCCCTCCCTCCCTCCTTCCTTCCTTTCCTCCTTCTCTTCCTCCCTCCCCCACTCTCTCTCTCTACCTCTTACACACAGGTATAAACAATCACAAAAATCAGCTGTTTTAGAGCACCAGGAAGACTGTTAATGGAGGTACAGTCATGTCCACGCAGTCTAACAGGAAGAATCCTCCACTAGTTTATTGGTTTTCGCAGTTTACATGACAGTTTTCGATACAGACTCTCTCTCTCTCTCTCTCTCTCTCTCTTTTTCCTCGGTCCTTCAGGGTTAATGTATCTGTTTGTTTGTTTGTCTGTTTGTCCTCTTATCTGCTTAAACTTGTCTCTGTATGTCTGTTTGTTTGTCTCGGTTTCTTTGTGTTAATTTCTCTCTCTGTGTACTCTATTTCTGTCTGTCTGTCTATCTGTTTATCTCCGCCTCTGTCTGTTTCCCCTGTCTCTATTCCTCTGTGTTAAATGTCATGGCCTCGTTATATCTCATGGGTTCCATCCGGCACCATCTAAACATTATCTGGCTGGTGGAGGAGTCGGTTGAATTTCCTCTTTCTTTCCGGCACTCGGTGAACTTGTTCCACTTCTGTCAGTGAACCCCGATTTTTTGACCTGGGTGGCCTTGCTGCTTGACCTTGTTTGGGCCTTCCCTTGTGACTGAATCCACCTGCCTCTACCTGACCCTACCTGCCTCTACCTACCCCCACCTTACCCTACCTGCCCCCACCTTCCTCCATCTGCCTCTACCTGACCCTATCTACCTCTACCTGCCCCCACCTTCCTCCAACTACTCCTACCTCACCCTACCTGCCTCTACCTGACCTTATCTGACTCAACCTGCTTCTACCTGCTGTTACATAATCCCATGATTGACACGAACTGACCTAATCTGACCTAACTTACCCCTAGTTGACTCCCACCTAACCCAACCTGACCTACCATAAAACTGTCTCACATAAGTTCACACCTGACCTTTCTTGACCTCACAGATGACCTTCATTGACTTCGTAACTGACCTTGGCTCAGACCCTCGGTGGTGCTGGGCCTCGTATGACTGCTTCATGTGGATCAGCTGCTCTTGAAGGCAGCGGTACTCCTGTAGGAACTTCTCCAACTGGGCTGCATGGTACTCGAAGCGGTACGGGTCAGGTTGCGGTGCCGAGACTTGACCGCATTCTCCCGCACCAACACCACCTGCACACTGCTCCTGCGGGTGCGGTAGACAGTGTTAGAATTTATTATTATTAATATATTATTATTATTATTATTATTATTATTATTATTATTATTATTATTATTATTATTATTATTATTATTATTATTATTATTATTATGTTATTGTTGTAGTTGTTGTTATAATCATTATCACTCTTCTTGGAGGGTAAGGGAAGGTGAGTTATGTTACATGGGGATTTCACCTTCAGAATTATTGACTGGGACAACATTATAGATGACTATGAATCTGAAGACTTCCTTTACGCAGTACAGGACAATTTTTTAAAACAACTAATTACACAACCTACTAAAGGTGACAATATATTAGGCCTAGTATTAACAAATAAAGAAAGTAGTGTCAGAGATATGACAACAGGGGAAGAACTAGGGAACAGTGATCACAGAGAAATCAGGTTTACCATAAATTTGGAAACGAAAAATAATGACAATATGGTCAGAGTCCCGGACTTTCGATTGGCGGATTATGAGGGGTTAAGAAGGTACCTAGGTGAGGTCGCCTGGGAACGGTCAGGTCAGTCTCTGTAGGAATGGGTGAGGTCAGCAACACAACAGTTGATGACGATTATACTAAATTCGACTCACAGAAAGGGGATCTGGTTATAGCTTCTTCTGGAAGGGTAAGCCTGCTGTGGAGAGAAACAGCATTTATATATTGGCTTTGCGATCTGCCAATGCATCCTACACAGGCTAACTGAAATGCTCGTGTCATGCCTTCTTCATCAATGCATATGCCCCATCAGTGCATACGCCCCATCACTGGGTGCAGAGGATGACATCAAGAAGGCCTTTTATGCCGACCTTGACAGAGTGCTAACCTCTATTCATAAAAACGATAAGGTTGGGCTCCTAGGAGACGTCAATACCAGAGTAGGCAGAGATGCTGACATTTGGCAGGGAATCATAGGGAGAAATGGACTAGGCAAGTGTAATCCCAACGGCCTATTCCTCCTCAGCAATTGTACTACACACAACCTCACTATCACCAATACCATGTGTAGGCAGGCAGACAAGTTCAAGGATTCATGGCAACACCCACGATCCAAACACTGGCCTCTCATTGAATGTATTTTTATTAGAGAAAGAGATCACCGAAATGTACTCATTACCCGAGCCATGCATGGCTCAGACCACTGCGACACTGATCATCGGCTCGTCAGAGCCAAGCTCTCACTTCACGTCGCCCCAAAACGGCGAAGTCAACAAGCCCCGAAGAGGTTTTAACAATAAGCGTCTGGAGGATCCAGACATAGCACATGCTTTCAGAGAGCAGCTTGAACATGGTCTGAGACACAACCCGACAACAGACAGCCTAAATCCCAGTGCCAAATGGGGTATTCTCGACATTGTTATGACAAAAACCTGCAAAGAGACCCTCGGCCAGATGGAAGGAATACACCAGGATTGGTTTGATGAAAATGACCCGGAAATTAATGTAATCGTCGATGATAAACGTGCGCTCCCCTCCACTCATCAGACGGCAACTCCGTAAATAAAGACGAAGACGGCATCCTTCGGTGCTGGAAAGAGCACTACCACTCGCTGGTCAACCAAAACACCGGTGTTGATGTCCTGACTACCCGAATCCCCTCAGCATCCAGAGTTGACTCACCTAAGCTGTCGTCCATCCCTGGATGAGGTAGCTAATGCCATCAAACAGATGAAAAATAATAAAACCTCAGGGCCTGATGGAATCCCAGCCGAGGTGTATAAAGCAGGAGGACCTCTGTTTACCAGCCGTCTACACTCTCTCCTGGAGAATATATTGGAAAGGAGAAAATCCCTAAGCTTTTAAAGAAGCCTCCATTTTCAGTATTTATAAGAAAAAGGGAGACCAGTCAAACTGTGGCGACTACCGCAGGATCTCGCTGCTGTCTATAGCAGGAAAGATTATCACCCGAATCCTCCTAAACAGACTTATTCCTGAGGCGCAAAACTTCCATCGAGAATCTCAATGTTTTTTTTTTTTATTTTTTATTTTTTTTTACGGGCATCATCCCACCCGGCACAGGTCATTTTATAATGACCCACATCAAGACCTGACGGGAGAAAATATACTACTACTACTAATACTATTTTTTTTTTTTTAGAAAAGGTGGCCGCCTCCAGCCTCCTGCAA